TCGTGCTTAAAAAGTATACAAAAATAATGAATAATTTTTTCGTTATTATTTGATTTTTTTTTGTTATAATTACAAATTTAAATTATTGTAGCTATCGCATTCACATATACGGCTTCATATGGATTTGAAAGCTTCGGTTGTTAGACAAAAGTACGATCGCTTGAGCAATCAGCATTATATTAAAGAGCCGATAGTGCCGGAAGAGAGGGTGGGGCTAGTTATTCGTAGTTCGACAGAGGGTTGGATGAAGTGGCACACTAGCTGCAGTTCAGATAATGGCAGGCCAAGTTCATTAGCATGGCCTGGCCGAGAGAGACAGAGAGAGAGAGAGAGATAGAGAGAGTCCTATCACAGTGCCCTGCGAACGTAGCCCGCCTGTCCCTGGCTTATGGCGACGCCTCCTGTATTCGCGGTAATAATGGGTCGCGTCCGGGTCGAACACGACTGTACGCCGATCGCTTCGATAGCATCGATAAAATATGCGCTAAGCGTTTCCGCAAATGCGTAGCTTGAAGCACACACATTGTTTTCTAAATAAATGCTCTTTTCTTTCGAATAATATGCGATCTGTGAAAATGAAAATAAAGAAACTTTTCTTCAGAAATGTAAAAATACTCTGAACATGCGCTAAACGTTTTCCACACACAAATATGTATAACAAAACTCATATATATTATATATTTGCAAGAAAGAAAGATGACTCTTTATTTTAAATGGACGAGCTTAAAAGATATTTTTTGACGACTCTCGAGAAAAGCATTCAATTGCAAATTGATTTAGCGAGACGGGTGGATTATCATGAATCTAAATCGTCTGCGTCTGGTTGCTATTTAACTCATGCTGTTGGAGATACGGTGACATACAATCGTTATTGATTGCAGTTCGTCGCATGGTCGGTTGCACGAGTACAAGTCATAAATGGCAGATAGTGACGAGAGAGCATTGTGGTCTCCGGGTATTGCTCTCTGCCAACTCACATTGATCTTTCACGTGTTGCATTTGTCATGCAAATTATTAGAGAAAGAGAAAAAGAGCATAAAAACACGAATATTGATCAGGTTTAATAATATCTTGCGAAATTTCCCCTCGTGTTCGTGTTAACGCGAAATTATTATTCGCGTGTTCTAAAAAATGTATTAAAACTAAAAGTAAAAATTAAAAAAAGAAAAAAAAATTGTACCCTAATTGTCGCTGAGAATCTTATAAAGTTTCCATTCAAGTTTCCAGCGTTTTGACATTCGCGAATTAAATCGAATCTTCGGATCTTTGTAAATGAATTCCGGCGTGGGTTGCAAACTCGAGTTGAAAACGTTACTTACTCAACTATAATTACCGCCTCCACTTTCACCTCCCGTTCCTCGCTTGCGCCGCGATACCGCCTGGATGCCGAGCGGTAATTCGCGAATTATTATCGGGCATGTTGTACGTGTTACGTGCTTGTCGTTAGACGGAAACTTCCACGGATGCGATTAATTAACAAGAAGGATACCTATCCATTACCTACCCCTCGGATTATGAGGCGCATAAGCTCACATGTGCTATTGGTTATTCCAACGTGCTGCATCTATGTACTGTCGTCATGATGTCGGTGGATCCATCCCAGTCATGTACGATGGTACACGTACACCGTTGTATATCAAGTGATAAATGGTTTTGCTTGGCGTTATAATAGATGTTAAGTTTCATGAAAACCCCATTTTTCATGTAAGGAGTGCAAGCATTCTGGTTGTAGCGTTAACGCTCGATACTTACGCTCAAGTATGATAAAAGCGAGAACACGTCAAATTATGAATTGATTATCTAAATGAAAAGAAAGTTACGTCATTATTAGATTAATTGTATTTTGAAACTTTAAAGATCGTAACAATATTTGCAAAAAATTGCGCGAAAAATATAGAATAAATAGTTGTGCGAGAAATATAATACATGTGAGAAAAATATTTATGATTTCGTGATATAATTAAAACGCGCAGTCAATAATTGATAGCGCGCATAAAAAAATATGATTTATGGAGCTAAATAATGGAGGTGAATCCAATTTATGCCTGTAATCCAATTGACAATCTCACCGAAAGCGCATGGAATATACATACATATATGTACAATGAGATTTGAATTAATACCTCAATTAGATAATACAAATTCAATAGAAATTTACTTTGTATATTCATCAAAATTAACATACACAGAATTTTATTAAATTTGCATACACACATTAAAAAAATATTTTTTTTAAATTGTTTTTTGCAAAAAATTCTTTCTGTATATTCTTTAAACATTATATGCGTTTATCAATTTTTATCAATTTATAAAACGCAATCTCAAAAATAATAAAACCATTAAAGTAAGATTATTTTAATAATATCTAATACAAAGGAAATATACATAGTCTTTTGTATTACGAGAATTTTGAAGAAGTTAGGCATTGTGTGTGTTAATGACACATTTTGCTAAAAGAAACCTCGACTTTGTATGAATAATAATAACAGACAAATAAAGACTCCATAGATATTCGATGCTTTAGAACTTTCGTGAAAACTGCATCGGTCGAACAGGATTACAACAAAGATCTCACGTTCCTGACAATCTGATCGGCGAGCCTCTTAATCGTTCACGCGTGCCTCCGCATCGCAATATCGCCGTTCACTTTTCTCTACCACCCCCTCAGGGCCGTTCTTCAAGGCGCGCCACCGCACAAAGGGAGATTCCGAACAATACGTTCTATCGGCACGCGGGTAGTAGGTAGGGTTGACACCGTGAATCGGTGACCAGGCGTCTGTCGGACTTTTCCACTTACCGCTGGCGCGTTTCTACAGGCTCCCACGAGACGCGACAGCGCGCGAACGGTTATAGTGGAGTGGGCGCTTGCCTATAGCGCGGCCGCACCACAGTCGTTCCTGTGAAACGTCGCGACGGACTGTGTGCTTTGATCTACCGGCGTCGATATCACGCGTCACGGAGCACTCTATCCGCGCGAGTGCACTTTTCGGTCGTGAAGACAGGAAATAAACAATCGACGATGTACACAAAAAGGCGCCGCAGAGAAATGACGGCGAAAGAGGAAACGGCTAGAATGTCGGCACACGTACGTCGACGTCGACGAGAAAGGCTTTTATGTTGCATATCGGCGCCGGATACGCTGATATTTCGGACCTGAATGAATTTTCGAACCACGAGTTAAGCTCATTAAGTTTTCTGAATACGTCGACATTTTAACGTGCGCGGTTGATTTATTGCCGTATCGATTTATATTCGCGATGCTCTCGCATTGTACTGTCTTATCATAAAGCTCACAATCAGTAGTATGAAATTTCAGAGTTCAAATATATTCTGCTTGGATTTAGCGAGAAAGCCATTTTGCAATTAAAACGTTCAGAACATATAATTTTATAATATATTCTGAATGTTTTAATTGCAAAATAGCTAGCTAATGTAGAAAGAGAGTTGAAAAGCTCTTTTATGACGCGCAAAGTTCCTGTATCTAAAGAAGAACAATCCTTATTTAATTTTATTATTTGTATTGATATTATTATTGGAATCTAATTGTTTTCCATCAACAAATTAATTGAAAGTTATTTTCCTCTTTATTGTGCATCATTGTGATGCGTTGAGGAATGCAGCAGAGGGTGTAAGTCGAAGCGAAAGCTGAGAGAGACCCCCGCTTGTTTAAAGTTTCCGTGAACGGCGGAAATCTTCGGCATCTCGATGAAAACTTTTCACCTGGAAACACGCGGATCGAAATATCGCACGCGGCGCGCGCGTGAAAATGACACGCTGCGCTCCACGGAAGTTCCAATTAGCGTACGTATATTCTATGCTCGAATGAACAAAACTCCTCAAAACTTTTGGTTCACGCGCAGGATAATGTCATATTAATTAGCGCACTTTCGCGCACCAAGCACGGCGACGCAATCGTTCGAGCAACTCTGCAAAATAACTCGTAGTTATTGCTAATGGTAGGAACGTAAATGCGACTCGAATAACTTCGCGGAAAATCACTTTGTAGCGAAACTTCCGCTTTGTATTCAAATTATGCAAAATTTAATTTTCCGGATAAACTAAGATAGTGATCTTTCATGCGCGAACTTTAATTGTTTACTACATGACGCGGCGTGCATGATGTAAGGAGGCTATTCACAACATATGTATCTCGTGCGAAATTACATGCTGCGTTTTTGCAGTCCTTCAACGGATACGCGTAATTGCGATGACAGTGTTTGTACATTCAAAAATATCAATAGGCTTCAAAAATTCATTGGCCGGATCACGTATGTCCGGCGTTTAATATGACAAGCAGTTACCTGTGCCATGATACGCTTCGAAATATATGTATAAAGCTTAACGAAGTATTAAGAGCAGAGCACTCTGCGTAAGCCCGGGATATGCGCGATGGCGCATACAGATGTGATGCAAATTAGCGTTTAGTATAAGCTGCGCTAACTTCGCGTGCAACATAGCCCGCTCTTTCTCTCGATAACCTTTGACCGTATCTTCGATAATGCCGGTTAACGTTAAGCCAGTTTCCACGGCTTTCCGGGAATCGTTAAATTAAGAAAATCCACGGCTATCGACTTTGTACGCACCAATGTTTACGGATTTAAACGATTTAACTACTGAGAATATAAGTTTGTTAATTACGAAGTTAGATATCCCCATGCTAATTTGTTTATGCATATGTATATAGATAATCATATTTCAACTTTCTTTAAAAGATTTATCTTGCAAAGAAAAAGGTGAATATTTAAAAAAAAATTTCTAAATACGTCAAAATTTTAGCGTACCTAAATATAACATTTCGAATATTAGTTAATTAATAATCAACAATTGATTGTAATTATAATAATGCAACATTAATATTCAATGTTCTAATATCTCTTTAAATATTTATCGCGTAATGTTATCTGTAATAATTGCGATCTGTATCGATCGAATTGTGCCATTATTCGGTAATGACTACATTATAATTCATTACGTGTACATTTGTCATCTTTGCATTACAGCGGGAAATCCTGAAGTTTATACGGATGTTCGACAAGTTTCCGCGAGATATTCAAATTATAGCAAGCCATTAGCGTAGTTTCGCTAATGACATACTTATCATATGAATGCATGTCACGGAGACTGGGTCAGTCATGATTTCGGACGTATGTTACATCATAGCGCATATGCAAACACTATTACAGCAGTCCTTCAGCCACTGTGCACACAACGTAATTTATTTCGGAGTTGCACAGTTAATATTGACAAATATGTAAATTTTAGTCTCTGTAAAATTATTCATTTTGATTGTTATGTTATATTTCTTAGAATAATGTATTTCTTACTTTGTACAATTTTTTGAAGTATGAAATGATATTGTATTTCTTATTTCAGATATACTTTATATATTATTTAAATTATTTTATGTATATGTGCATAATGTATAAAAAATATTATCATTTTGTAAAACAAGACTTTCTGATTAATTTCCTCGATGCGGTTGTACAATTTAACTGTAAGATCGAAATGAAGTTCACCAGCGTAGAACCACGCGTCAATATGAAATTGAACTCTAGAGAGAGAGAGAAAGGTAGCTCATGCATACATTCACGCTCGAAAAATCGCACGACAGGTGCAAACACACGGCAGCGGTTTAGGTGCGGACTAAAATGTGCCGGCTTTGATGTCGCCCGCCTTTGGTTTATTTTCACGATTGCGAATCGATGCGAATAGGCTTACGAGAATGCCGAAAATTGAAAGGAGAAAATCAAACGGCTGATTGTGGGAGAGAATGTATGCGCGGAAACAGGAATACTTCCGGCAGTATCGCTGCGGAAGGGCGGTTCCGCAGGCAAGTGCACCACAGACAATGGATTCATCGAATGCGAGATTGCCGAGTTTGCAGGTAGTACTTCGAAATTGGCTGCTTAAAAGACACTGCCGGGAGGTACTTACCAGCGCACTAACACAAAGAAGTCAAAGTCGCCGAAGTTAAATATCGACTGTCGCTCTGGTTCGGCGTTTCGTCAGTATGCTGTAGCATGCGAACCTGCAAAAAAGTCCAGAGTCTCATTAAAACAAAACAAAAAAAAAACAAATAAATTTCGTAATCTCGTATTTTGTGCAAAAATAATGGAAAAGTTCCGCGTTACATTTTCGACAACGTATGGCGTGCAATTTTTAAATAAAATATTTTTTTATATTAATTTATCATTTAAAATTTATATATGTAAATACACCAAAAAAAAAAATGTATTCGAACATGCAATTTGTTTATTGCAAATATACAAGTGCGAAGTTTTTATTTGCAGCATCTATGATGTAAATATCAGGATACTCAGTCACGCGATTCTATGCGTCAATAAAGCCAATGAATACAAAAACACACGCGTTTGACCCGGACAACCAATTTCGGGCTCAATTTTATTATCTACATACGCGCATAACTTATTGCTTGAACAAAGCGAGAGCTAATAGCGAGGGTGATGGGGTTCCATCCAATTTTCCAATTGAAAAATGGGATTTTAAAATTTGTGGTCGAACGACATTGTCAGATTACACGCATTTGCATCTGCCTGTTCGATTTGTAACACGCGTTGAGCCGTCCCGAAATGATTATAAAATTACAAATGCATCCAGCAGTGACTCCGCTCTTTTCTTGCGTTCGTGCACTTTCGCAGTAAAATCCTTAGCAAAGAATGGCTAAACATCTTAGATAGCACTCATTCCGGAATTACTATGCCAATGTAATAGGAGGATTCCATGTGCGATTCCGCAGAGAGCACGGATTTTACTATCACTCGATTAATCTAAGTCACGTTGTCAAACAAGTATCCCATTTACCCGGATTCACTGGGAACTTTAAAATGACACGGACGGGGGCAAACATTTTCGTAGAGCAATTACGAAAAGTTCGTAGAACGTAGATAACCCGACCGTCGCAGTCGGAGGAGACTCTTTCTATTCCGAACTTGGAAGAATTTACTCGCAATTAAAAAGATTGTGGAAAAAAGTTGAATTTATGTCAAACGTCAATAAATGCAAATGAATGTTCATCATGCATTATGATCGGTTCATTAAATTAAAGGAATTTTTACAAATCTACCTGCTTGATTTTCCAACGACTTTTTGCTTAGCATACTATCGATTCTTGACATAGATTATAATTGCTAATTTAAAGCAAATTGTAATTTATAGAACAATTACTCGCTTGAAGCCATTGCAAACGTTGAAATGCAACAAATATTTGCCGTAATTATGTCGGTTTAAGATAATTGTTATATTAGCGTTGTTTGCATCTTCGGTTTTATTTATTATTATTATTATAGCATTCAAACGTAGCAGTCTCTGTTTGAGAATTCTACATTGACACGAAACAATCGGTAGCGGCGATAATAGTCTCCATTCAGATGGCGTATTTAACTTTAAACGTTTGCATTTAATCCTTTGTTTATTTTGCATGCATATAACATACCGCATAAATGCACTTCAGGTTGCCACATATACTATACTAAACGTGCATGAATTCGCGATCTATTGAATAATAACGGTTCTGCAATTTCTCATGTATTTATGCCCGCGCGAGTCGTTCACTTTTTTCAAGTTTACTCTCGCCGCCGATTACAGGTGCTCGCTCGTACGTTTTACTCGTACAAACATACCACACGGAGCGGCAAAATACACGCGCTAAAAATAGGAACATCTCAATCAGAGCGAAAGAAGTTCCCTGATATTTCTCATTGTCAGTCGCGCGAAGTTTCCACTGTGGAGTGACGAGCGCAACGTTGACTCGCTCTACTTATACACGCGCGCGACGGAGTGACAGTAGTCAGACGGAGAGCAGGGTCGGTCGCGCATTCTCTCCGGCGACACCGGCTGCTTGTTTCTGACACTATCCACCGGGCGAAGAAGGAGTCGTCGCGGCGCGCGCGGGGACCAGCGACGCTTTGACACTGCCCGAGGGGGGGTAACTCTGTAAACAGCGTACGCGGGACTTACGCGGCGGTGCACTTAGGAGAGCTGCGCGCCGGAGTTATGCCGAGCGGTCGCGGCGGGCGGGGAAGACGGACGCACGGCAGCCTGGGCCAAGCCGAGGGAAGAGAAAGGAGGATCGCCGTTGGAGTTGAGCAAGGTAATGGATGGCTCATAACCGAGTTACTTACGTATCACGGGCTCTACGTCTTACACAACCACCGCCGCCGCAGTCGCCGCCGCCGTCGCCGCGTCTAGTGAGAACCACTACCACCGTCCTCGTCTTTGTGTCGCCGCCGCCGCCGCCGCCGCCGCCGCCGCCGCCACCGCGATCGTCACAGGAAACCCGCAACGGTAACTAGTGGCGTTGGCGAAGCGGAAGTAAAAATTCATATTAAAGTTTGCCCCCGCGAGATAATGCGAGTGTTTCATCTTCGTTCCGTACGGCGATATCTGAAGGGAGGTGTAATGGAACGAGCGCGCTTTATTCCGCGCCCTTTTGCTCCTTTCTTTCTCTTTTTTTTTTTTTGCTACTCGACGCACCACCGAGCGGACAACTTCACGACTTCCGCCGCGTGCGATTTGATGGAAGACTTCCCTCGTCTCTCTCCTCGAGACCGCTTCTTGTATCCGAGGGATGATTGAAATCGGTGGTTACTTCTCGACGATATTGCGTATCGAAGGATATAGTTTGTAAAATATTTTACAAATATTTTTATACACACAAACTTTCTCGGATCAATGATGCGATGTATACACGTTCATTCGCCGATCATTGCAGAATATAAGGATTCTATTTTTAATTCTTGCAATATATCTCTCGTTAATTACCATACAAATATTTGATACGTTTAATAGTAATGAATGTATAAATATGATTGGTTAATAATTAATAATTTTTCAAAGATATTATCTGCTCATTAAAATGAACGTCATTAAAATATGTAACATATATATTCTATTTATTCTATTTATTATACCTTGCATTTTATAAAATATTTTAATCAAATTTATTTCTGCATAAACAAAAAACATTTGGAAATGAGTGCAAATTAAATCAACGATGCGTGTCTGACCATATCAAGATAACTCTACTTACGTTACCACCGCGAATTTGCTATTTTTTTTCAAGCAGTCTCAGCGCATTAAAAAATTGTCATTTAATTCTCTTTGGTGTGAACAAAGTTGCTTCTTTAAATAAAGAAGACCTTCACTCTCCGCCGTCTTTCGAAGCGACTTCCGTACATGTGCATACGATTTTATAACGCATTCTTTCAGTTTCTCGGATCTACGAACGGCCGCTGTCTCGCCTCGCCTCGACCGACTTTATCTTGAACTTTTTTTAGTGGCGCAGTGTCAAGTATGCACAGCAGTTTATACGTCGCCTCCTTTCCTGAGATACGCGATCACCCTCTCGAGAATGGCTGGTTCCTCTCCATCTGTTGCAATGCGGGATGATTCTATCTCCGGCGTGTTGCTGCACGCAGCAGCGCTACTTCCCCGTGACATGTTAAAGGTATATAGGCGGCGGGAAGCGGAAGGAGAAACCACGGAAACACGGGAGATGGTCTGTGTGAATTCCAGGTTTCATGTCCGGCCGGCTTTTCCACGCTCGCATTTGCGCCCTGATTAATACAACGAATAATGAATGCAATGCATAATGTACTTTTGGAAAATTTCTCCCTTTTTTTACATAAAACACAACGCGTCTTTCTCCTTGCAGTGCAACCGCGCTCGCTCGATCCGCGTGTAATGAATTATATTTTTAATTTATATTCTGATAGCGCTCGAAGTAAAATAATGCGCTCTCAGTTTTATATAAAACTTCCAGTATCGCTATATTTTCAATATATATGGTAATGTGTGTTGAATAAGTGTCTTATTTTCACGTTTGAATTTTTGACATTGCATTGCGGCAATGCAATTTGCTTTAGAATAATGAAAGAGAACACCAATCAATTTTTATAAAACTGATCTATATGGAAGATAAACGTCATCAATAAATTATCGATTTTTCAAAAGGCAATGCTTCATATCATACGTTTATATGACGTTGATGTTGACCTATATATCACGTGACAGCTACAGGCATCGCGAATATGTGCGCAATAAATGACACACTCTTTGACTGTGTAGAATACGTTAAAGTACTATAACCATGCTTAATATATAACATAATAAAATAGAATTTGTTATATATTTTTAATTCAAATGTAATTATAGATTGATATTATCAATTTTATATTTAATCAGCAATTTGCTAAATTAAGATAAATTTAAGATCGATATG